CTGACTTAAAGAACACTGTAGTCATCTCATTGAAGTTGTCTGAGTGCAGTGTCCCTGTCTCACTTAGACTGCCTCTAATTACATTGCAGTACTAAGACCACCTCTAGTGGCTGTCAATCAGACATCCACTAGAGGCACTTAATTAGTCTACTAGACAGCCACTAGAGGGCACTTCCTGGTCTATAGCACAGATTTTCTGTGCTATAGCGTCGCTGGACGTCCTCACGCTATGTGAGGACCTCCAGCGTCGCTAAAATCCTCATAGGAAAGCATTAGGTCTCATCCTGCCGGCAGCCGCGAATGCGCAGTCGGTACCCCCGCTGGCTGACGGCGGGGGAGGAGCGTGGGCGGACCCTAAACCACTGCCAAGGGACATCGGCGGTGCTCTCAGCCCTCTGCCTGCTGCGCATGAGCACTAGGTCTCCCCCGCCGGATGACGTTGGCGGGGGAGGAGCGTGGGCGGACCCTGAACCAGCGCCGAGGGACATCTGGGCAGGATAAAAGGCAAGTCACTGAAGGAGTTTTCACCCCTTCAGCAACATGGGATTGAGGGGGGGGGGAGGTAGAGGGGACCTGCAGTGCCAAGAAAACAATTTGTTTTCCTGGCACTGGAGTGTCCCTTTAACTCTGCAATGTAAACATGGCAGCTTCTCAAAAACATGTTTAACATTGCAGGACTAAGCAGGACAGGGACAGCGCACCCAGCAGTGGTGTATCCTGGTTTTGTGCTGCCCTAGGCAGGACAAAACTCAGGTGCCCCCCAAGTCCCCCCCCCCAACCCGCCCACGCGTGCGCGACCCCTACCCATCCCTTCCCCCCGCCCCGCCTACTAAATACACCCAAACACACACACTCACTGACAGATACGCATACACTAGCTAACAGAAACACAAACTCACTGACACACACAGACACTCACTCACTCACTAGCAGACACACACACACTCACTGACACACACACACTCACAGGCAAACATACACACACATACACACACAAACACACTCACTCACTAGCAGATACACACACTCACTAGCAGACACACACACTCACTAGCAGACACACACTAGCAGACACAAACACTCACTGACACACACACTCACAGGCAAACACACTCACACTAACAGTCAGACACACACACACACACACACTAACAGTCAGACTCACTCACAGACACACTCACACACACACTAAAAGACACTCACACACACACACTAACAGACACACACACACTAACACACACACACTAACACACACACTAACAGACACACACACACACACTAACAGACACACACACACTAACAGACACACTCACACACACACTAACAGACACACACACTAACAGACACACTCACATTAACACATTTATTTTTTTTAACCCCCTCCTTACCTTTTGGGAATGCTGGGGGGGGGGTCCCTTTCTCCCTGGGGGTCCAGTGGCTGCTGGGCTGGCTGCTGGGCGCTGGTGGGCGGCTGGCGACGGAGCTCTTCCTCTGAGCGGTCTGCTCAGCTCCCTCGCCAGCCGCCCGCTCGGCATGTCAGCTAGCCGCGAGGCTAACAAGGCATTTGCCCTGGGCGTTTGGGGGGCGGCTTTTTTTGCCGCCCCCTGGAAAATGCCGCCCAAGGCAAATGCCTTGTTTGCCCCACGGCTAAAACGCCCCTGATACCCAGACCACTTTAATGAGATGAAGTAGTCTGGGTGCACTGGCGTACATACCGCGGTCGCAGGAGTCGCGGCTGCGACCTGGCCCGGGCCTCCAGAGGGCCCGGCCGCCCTGCGACACGATCTTGCCAGCCTCTTCTCCTGGGTGCCCAGGAGCTGGCCACCTCAGGGCCCCCCGAGGCTGGAAGTGGCTTCACATTGCCGGCAGGCAGGTGCGCGAGGGAGCACTCTCCCTGAGTGCTTTTTGCCCAGCTCCCTCGCGCACTGCACTGATGCCGGAGCCGGAAGATGACGTCATTCTGACTCCTACATCAGTAAGCTGCGCTGGGCAGAGAGCGCTCAGGGGAGAATGCTCCCTCGCCGCCTGCAGGACCGGCCGCCCAGCAGCCCCACTAGACCTCAGGGAATCCCCTCAGCACTCCCAAAGGTAAGGAGGCTGGGGGATTAAATAAAAAAAAAATATGAGTGTGTATGTGTGTTACTGTGTGTGTATGTGTGTTAGTGAGTGTGTTACTGTGTGTGTGTCTGTTAATGAGTGTGTTAGTTTGTGTGTGTCAGTGAGTTTGTTACTGTGTGTGTGTTAGTTTGTGTGTGTGTGTGTGTCAGTGAGTGTGTTACTGTGTGTGTGTTCGTTTGTTTCTGTTAGTGTGTGTGTCTGCTAGTGAGTGTCAGTAAGTGTGTTAGTGAGTGTTACTGTGTGTGCCACTGAGTGTGTTAGTTTGTGTGTCTGCTAGTGAGTGTTAGTTTGTTTGTGTGTTACTGTGTGTCTGTTACTGAGTGTGTTGGTTTGTGTGTGTCTGTTAGTGAGTGTGTGTCTGTCAGCGAGAGTGTATGTTTTGTAAGTGAGTGTTTGTCTGTCAGTAAATGTGTGTGTCTGTTAGCTAGTGTGTATGCGTCTGTTCGTGAGAGTGTGTGTGGTTAAAACCCCTTGAGCACTTACCTTTCTCCAGCGCCGGGCTCCCTTGGCTCTGAGGATCTCTCCACCCCGATCCACCTCTCAGTTCCGAACGCGCATGCGCGGCAAGAGCCGTGCACGCATTCAAACTGTCCATAGGAAAGCATTACTCAATGCTTTCCTATGCATGTCCAACGGAATCGCGGAACCGCCTCTAGCAGCTGTCAGTGATACAGCTACTAGAGGCCTGGATTAACCCTCAGTGAAACATAGCAGTTTCTCTGAAACTGCTATGCTTTCAGCTGCAGGGTTAAAACTAGAGGGACCTGGCACCCAGACCACTTCATTGAGCTGAAGTGATCTGAGTGCCTATAGTGGTCCTTTAAGTGTATGTGTATCATGCACTGGCGTGCACACCGCGGTCGCAGCCCTGCGACCAGGTGCCCGCCGCCATGTGTACCAGCCCGTGCAGACTAAGCGCCGCGGGAGGGGGGCCCACGGATCAATTTTTGCCCCATGGATCGTGTGTACGCCACTGTCTGGGTGCCTATAGTGTCCCTTTTAGTTTAATTGCTGTGGTGGGGGACCTAATGCTACCTGGGAGAAGGACACTATAGCATTAGTAATAAAAATTGTGCACTAGACAAAGGCATCATATTTATCTACCTCTCCATTACTCTGACATGTAGTTCTTTGTCTTGTCTTTCTTTACGCATTGTCCTAGATCAGGCATAGACAACATTTGGCACTGCAGCTGTTTTGGACTAGACCTCCCATGATGCTTTGCCAGCATTATGGGTGTAAGAGCATTATGGGGGATCTAGTCCAAAACATCTGGAGTGCTGAAGGTTGCCTATCCCTGTCCTAGATTGTAAGCTTGTCTAAGCAGGGCTCTTTTCACCTGTTGCACCTGCCAACACCCATTTTGGATGCTTATTATATTATTATTGGCATTTATATAGCGCCAACTTTTTTGCAGCGCTATATATGGGGGAAATTAACAACAAACAAGACAAACTATTACAAATTTTTACATGTATGCTAGTTTGATTAAACAAACTTACAGTCTAGAGAAGGTGGGTTATAAAAACACAAAAGGAAGGGCAGCATGGGGGATAGCACCAAGTGACTGAGTGAGAAATTGCAAAGAATTGAAAGGTAAGAGTGGAATGTGGACCATTAAGTTGAGCACGTAGGATATGGGTTTGAGGAATGACCATAGGTGGATTTTAAGGGACTTCTTAAAGGATTGAAGAGTAGGGGAGAGCCAGATTGGGGAAAGAATGGTTTTCCCATAAGAATGGAATTGCCCTCGAGTTGTTCTGTAAATGCAAGTTAGCAGTATGGTACGGGTACAAGTAAGGGGCTAATTCTCATTCCTGGGCTGCCATAACCAACCTGGCAAATTTCAATGTGTAAAAAAACGAACAGGGCAAGCCTTAAATTTCACCCTGCAACTTTCCAAAATACTATAAAACCAGTACATGTGGGATACTGTTGTACTCGTGAGACATTGCTGAACACAAATATTAGTGTTTTAGAGCAGTAAAACGTATAATGTGGATGATATTATTGGTGAAAATTCTGGGTTTTTTTTGTGAAACATGCAAGCAGTGGACACGGGAAGGTTCGTAGCAGAGCAAAGTGGGGATAGACAGTTCTCAGTTCAGTGAAAAAAACGCCCCAGATTTTTGCCTTGCTTCTATAAATTCAACTCGTTATGTAATGAGTGGAATCGCTCTTGGTGCATAAATTGCTCATACTATACAAAATAAGACCTGATGAATAGGGCACCACAGGCTAATAAAGACAAGTATTTTATTATTTTTTTAATGCATTACTTTTATTATTATTATTTTTTTTTTAATGCATTACTTTTATTATTTTTTAAATGCATTACTATTATTATTTTTTAAATGCATTACTTTCATTATTTTATAATTTTTTAAATGCATTACTATTATTTTTTAAATGCATTACTTTTATTATTATTTTTTAATGCATTACTTTTATTATTTTATTATTATTTTTAATGTATTACTATTATTTTTAATGCATTACTTTTATTATTTTTAATGCATTATTTTATTATTATTTTTAATGCATTACTTATACAATGCATTATAAAATAGGGGTGTAATTTGTTTTCTCCATAGTTTTTCTTTAAAGCAATTCACAGTAAAGTAAATCAGTTCCATGATAATAAATGGAAAGCTGTCTGAACACACAGGTTAAAAGAGACAGCGTCCCCTCTGTTGCTAGGCAACCAGACTCCCCCCGTCACTAGGCGGAAGTAGTGCGCGTGCGCAGATTTGCCGCGTCCTGGGCTGCCGTTAGCCGTTTGAAAAGTAGGCGTTGTGATAGGCTGACGGCTGCTCAGTTCTCTTCTGTGATTGGCTGAGACGAGCCCGGCGTCGCGGGTTGATGAGGGCGTGGTTTGCGACGCGGGCCTGGAGGATGTCCTGGCGCCATGTTTGTTTATGTCAGTGTTTGTGTGAGGGAGTGAGGAAGCCGGTAACTGTCAGCGGGTTTCACGGTGACCCCGCCTCTGGGAGCTGCCGCCTGTCCTGCCGCCTTGCTCTCACACAGTTCCAGGGTGTCTGTCAGTGTGACCGGTAGCAGGATCCATGCTGTGCTCCAGGTAAACCTCCATCCCCGGCTGTGTGTCTGTCCTGAGTGGGGTATTCACTAAACGGCGAGTTTATACCGCTCAAAATATTTATATTGAATGGCAATGTGGGTGTAATTTAGCTACAGCAGCTCTCTGCCACTCCAGAGGTTATTCCCCCCCACCCCACAATATTTATATTGAATGGCAATGTGGGTGTAATTTAGCTGCAGCAGCTCTCTGACACTCCAGAGGTTATCCCCCCCCACCCCCCCATATTTATATTGAATGGCAATGTGGGTGTAATTTAGCTGCAGAGGCTCTCTGACACTCCAGAGGTTGTTATCCTTACTGGCATTGGAAATGGGGTTCTGTGCTGTTCCCAGAAGGAGAATGGGGAATGCAGTGCTAACGTTTCTACCCTGATACTTTCCCATTTATTAAACATTATATCTAGTCTGTTGTGTTCTAACCAACACAGACCTGATGGATACATTGACCTGATTATTGGATCACCTGACAAGTCCTCAATATAATAATAATGATGATGATTATATAGCACCATCAAATTCCGCAGCGCTTTGCAGTGGGTGGACGAACAGACATGTAGTTGTAACCAGACAAGTTGGACACACAGGAACAGAGGGGTTGAGGGCCCTGCTCAATTAGCTTACATGCTAGAGGGAGTGGGGTAAAATGACACAAAAAGGTAAGCTTAGTATTAGACTAGTGACAGTTGCAGAAGAGGAATCAGTCAGGAGCTATTAACAGTTTAATTGATACGCTTTTATGAAGAAGTGGGTTTTTAACTATTTTTTTGAAGAAGTGGAGACTGGGTGAGCATCTAACGGAGGAGGGAAGCGAGTTCCACTGGAACGGTGCAGCCCTCGAGAAATCTTGAAGGCGAGCATCAGAGGTGGGAGTACGGACAGAAGATAGACCTAAGTCTTCATCAGATCGTAAGGGCCTAGACGGGACATACTTGTGTATAAGGGAGGATAGATAGGTGGGAGCAGCATTATGTCGAGATTTGAAAGCAAGAACAAGATTTTTAAATTGAGCTCTATATTTTATAGGAAGCCAATGTTGGGACTGACAGAAGGGTGAGGCATGGGAGGTGCGGGCGGACAGGAAGATGAGCCTCGCCGCTGCATTCATTATGGACTGTAACGGCGCTAGTTGGGAGCACGTAAGACCACTGAGAAGCGGATACAGTAGTCAAGGCGAGAAAGGACAGTGGAATGGACCAACACCTTAGTCGCATCTGGCGTTAAGTAGGGGCGGAGGCGTGCAATGTTTTTGAGATGGAAATTACAGGATTTGGCGATAGATTGAACATGAGGCTTGAAGGAGAGGTCGGAGTCAAAGAGAACACCCAGGCAGCGAGCCTGCGTGGTGGAGCTGATGGTAGCACCGTTGACTTGGAGGGAGACAGACACAGGAGTAACAACACTTGAGGGAGGAAAGACCAGAATTTCAGTTTTGGTCAAGTTTAGTTTAAGGAAGTGGGCAGCCATCCAGTTAGAAACAGCAGAGAGGCAGTCAGAGACACTAGTCAAGAGGGACGGGAGAGATCAGGAGAGGACAGGTAGATTTGCGTGTCATCTGCATAGAAATGATATTGGAAGCCAAAGGAGCTAATGAGTTTACCAAGGGAGGCAGTATAGATGGAGAACAGTAGGGGACCAAGGACTGAACCTTGGGGGACACCAACAGAGAGGAGTTGGGGAGAAGAAGCAGAGCCAGAGAAAGAAACACTGAAAGAGCGCTGGGAGAGGTAGGAGGAGCACCAGGAGAGAGCAATATCTTGTAGACCGATATTGCTGAGGATGAGAAGAAGCTGTTGATGATCAACAGTGTCAAAAGCCGCAGACAGGTCAAGGAGAATTAGGATAGACTAGTGACCACAAGATTTTGCAGCGAGTAGATCTGATTGTCACATTTTAGCCATCACTGCTACTTAAAGTTTTAAAAATAACTTTACACCCATTGTATTTAATACAGGTTTATTGAATCCACAGGCAAAGCACTGGGCTTAAGTGAGATGTTGAATTTTTTTTGTAATCTTTAATAAAGGTGGTCTGTTGCTTTACTGTAATCTTTTTAGGATATTCGCGGGAAAGGTTTATATGTTCTCGTGTGTGTGTGTTAGGAAGTCCTGGCCTTGCTGGGTAAGATTATCTTGAATGTAAACTGTGTGTTGACAATGTGAGTATCTCAGTTTTTGTTTCTGTGAATGTGTGAAAACCAGAATGAACAGAATTACTTATCTTGCACACTGACGATACTGTCCATAGAAGTTTATTTGGTACTTTCTTTTTCAGTTTGTCAGAGTTCTTCAAGGTTCTGTTAAAGGAACACTCCAACACTACAGTGCACTGAAACCCTCATTGTAAATAGTCACTTTTAGAACGCTTTTGATACCTGTCAGTCAATGAGCTAAGCCCTGCACTGCTAGGCTTAATTTGGTAGTGATAGGCAGCGGCATGCTGGCAGACCCCAGGTAAAATGTCAAACTGTTCTAAAATGGTTTCAGTAGGTAGGTACCAGGGCATTCATGATACCATAACCACTACCATGTGGTGTAATCATTATGGTTATTAGTGTTTTTCACTACAGCGTGAATTCGTGGGAATTTAAATTCACATTTTGGGCCTAACTAGTTAAAATGGAAACATAACTAACTTTGTGAATTTTTCCAGTTTAGCTGTTTTGACATAAAATTTGCAAGTCACAGCAGTTTGCACTTTATTGAATTGTACTTGCCTAATAGCCCCCTGTCCAGTATTCCGCATGACAAGGCATAATAAGTTCCTGCCACCACTTTTTTTTTTTTCACACACTTTCTCTATATACCTACCAATTCCAATGCATGTATTAAAGTCTACCTGTCATGCCTAACTTGATTGGTCACTTGTGAATGTATAATGAATAGGACGTCCTTAGCCATTACATTTAGCCATTGGCTATAACTGTGTACACAGCAGAACCTGTAAAATATTTTGTCCAGCTAAACATGTACAATAGTCAGACATGCCAATTGATAGTGCAACAAATGCATGCTTGAGGGCTCCATGTAAAATATGCATTCTTTTAAATATTGCGTTAAAGGACCACTCTAGGCACCCAGACCACTTCAGCTTAATGAAGTGGTCTGGGTGCCAGGTCCTTCTAGGGTTAACCCATTTTTTTTAATAAACATAGCAGTTTCAGAGAAACTGCTATGTTTATGAATGGGTTAAGCCTTCCCCCTAATCTTCTAGTGGCTGTCTCATTGACAGCCACTAGAGGCGCTTGCGTGCTTCTCACTGTGATTTTCACAGTGAGAGCACGCCAGCGTCCGTAGGAAAGCATTGTAAATGCTTTCCTATGCGACCGGCTGAATGCGCACGCAGCTCTTGCCGCGCGTGCGCATTCAGCCCAGGAGGAGGATCGGAGGAGGAGAGCTCCCCGCCCAGCGCTGGAAAAAGGTAAGTTTTAACCCCTTTTCCCCTTCCAGAGCCGGGCGGGAGGGGGTCCCTGAGGGTGGAGGCACCCTCAGGGCACTATTGTGCCAGGAAAACGAGTATGTTTTCCTGGCACTATAGTGGTCCTTTAAGGGACACTTTTGCTTGGTATGTGGTGGCCTGGGGGTGCATAGGAAGTGACTTATACTTGCCTGATGCCCCACCGTCTTCTTTATTCAGCTCCTGATGCTTTATCCACCAGGAGCCCAGATCAGTGAGGTACTCGAGCATGTGCCAGAGTACAACACTGATGTCTTGGGAGAATTCTGCTGGAGTTTCCATAGATATTGTCCTGCGTTGAGCAAAATGATGCTCCTTTCCCACATCCATCACTAGTGCAGATTAAGCAACAGCGCAGACGCAAAAATACAGTTTTTTTTTTTGGTTATTTTTTTATTATTTTACAAAACTACTTAAAGGGACACTAGTCACCAAAACCACTACAGCTTAATGTAGTTGTTCTGTTGTCTATAGCCTTTTAATGTAAACAATGCCTTTTCAGAAAAAAAGCAGTGTTTATATTGCTGCATAGTAACTAACACCTGTAGTTTCCACTGGTTAGATGGCTACAGGAGGTGCTTCGTGGGTCAGTGCTGCACAGTTTGCACAACTGGAGTTAAGCATCTCCACACTCTGCATAGAGATGCTGAACGCTCCCCATAGAGATGCATTAATGAAGACATTCTAATTGGTGCAGTGTGGCATTTGCCACTGTACCCCAATATTGGTGGGCCCTACACTAATTTTAACATTGGAGGCAAACAACTGCTTAAATAGTGACCGTGTTAAATTAATATAAATTAAATTAATCCATTGTAAATGCATTCTTAATATAGATCACTCAAAACACAAGCAAAAGCAATCAAAATATAAAGGGACATAATTAAAGTGAGTGCTTTTTATGAATATGTGAACAATGCATGTAATAATTCTGCTAGTTATCATATAAACAAAAAACTAATTTGAGTATATTTTGGATACCAACATCGCCTTAACAATATTTGTGTTTTTTGTGTGTGTTTTAAAGAGGGGGAAGGGTGGAGTGGGAGTCCACTCATGCAATTCTCAACAGTGGTGCTGCCATAAAGACCAACATTTATACAAACTACAGATTAAGGAACAAGACACACAAAAATCCAGTTCTGGGGGAACTGACAAAACATGACACCAGTGTGACGAGACCAATCTCGCCACATTGCATTGGAGAAGCCCGGTTGCTCGCCTGCTGCCTCTGGACTATGGCCCCCTTTTAAAAGACTTTATTTCGCCTGGAGAAAAGCTGTATTTGTGCTTTTCTGCCAGTTGTTCGGTAGATTCAATCTACCGAACAACCGCACGAATGAAAAGACCACCTGGGAGCTGGAGTGTGCCGGCAATTAACCTCCCTGAAGCTGCGGTTAACCGCAGCTTAATTGACGAATGCTGGGTGGCCGCCATTCGTATCCCGAACACGAGGTCGCGGCCATTTTAAACATACGAATGCACAGCGGTGTTCGCCCCTATTTTCATGGAACTAAAATCGGACACAGTTTTGCGCGAACACCGCTGAAGCCGCCGACCTCCCTTCTTGTTCGGTGGAAGTGCACGAACGGCCCGGTGTTCGGTAGTTTTGGTTGAATGTGTTATACCCCAGATAGGAATCCCATGGAGCCCATTCGTATGAAACTGACTGTAAAGACTTTGGCTCCATGGCGATTAAACTGTATTCGTGTGGTCTGAGCGCCATTCGCTTAATAATGTGCACTCAGACCTGAGCTATCTGGGGATATGTTACATGTCTGTTTTATGTAATAAATGTTACTTTATGTATTTTAAAGTATAATACTGGTTTTGTATCCCCACATGTGTAATGGAGTTTTGCCTTTGTCTTGGGAGATAATTTAATTACTTCCCAATTATCTCCCAGGGCAGAGGGGAGGAAGCCAGGATGCATTGTGGGAATATATTGTGACTGTGTGTCCTATTTGTCTACTTGTCTGTCTTTTGTCACAGTCTCCCATTTGGTCCCCTAGGGGAGTGTCCACCAGGTGGGAGACCTGCATAAATACTGGGCAGGTAGCCCTCATTAAACAGACCACTGCTTGACCCTCAACACGGAGCCTTGTCTCGTCTTTGGGGGGATTTACTGTATGCTGCTAAGGACTGATTGCCAGGAGTGTAAGCCGCTTGGGAGCTTTTCCTGTTCATCTGGTAGCAGCAATTCGTATGGTTCCTGTTTGTGTATTTGGAGTGCTACCTTATTCCCTTGTATGCCGTTCGGGAGTTTGGAGCATTCACTTGTATGCAGTTCGAGTGTTTGGAGCATTCACTTGTATGCAGTTCGAGTGTTTGGAGCATTCACTTGTATGCAGTTCGAGTGTTTGGAGCATTCCCTTGTATGCCGTTTGTTTGGAGCATTCCCTTGTATGCCGTTTGGGAGTTTGGAGCATTCACTTGTATTCAGTTCGGGAGTTTTGGTGATTCTACAGTAGCTGTGCCTGTCTCTGAAAGGGGATTATCGTCTAAGCGTTTTTTTTCCCTTTTGTGCAAAACGGTCCGTTACAACCAGTATCTCTCCCTCTTGCCAAATTTGGCTAGCAGAGTTAAAGTACATAACACAGTTGTTCTTACTTTTTCTTATATCGTTTGACTATTGGAATGTCAGTTTTTGCACTTTGTAGATTAAAGGGATGCTATAGGTACCTAGACCACTTAATCTCATTGAAGTGCTCTGGGTGCAGTGTCCCTGTCCCACGTAGTCTTGCAATGTAAAACATTGCTGTTTCAGAGAAATTACAATGTTTATATTTCAGTACTTAGACTGCCTCTATATTTGTAACACCAAAGTGTTTATAAAATGGATACATTTATTTGAATATCTTATTTCTATCTGTCTCTTGTCTGCAAGACCGTAAGTAATTTCCATATAATTTGACTTTAAGGAAATGAGTGCTAAGATAAGCTTGAAGCCTTTCCAGTGCCCAAGAGAATCCAACGGTCTCTCTTCTGAAAATCAGATACATCTAAGGTAATGCCCGCAAAATCAGCCTTATTGTTGTGTTTATTGAATTTTTAATTCTACATTTGCCGATTTTATACTGTAAATTGCTTGGAATAAACTGGGCAATCCAATTTACAAAGGGAAGTCGCTGGCAACCTTTTAATGCACCTTAATGCGGCACTGCCATGCCGAATTTACCTGTCTTTAATAGATTATTTTTCTCTCCATCTGTCAGGATCTGTTCTTAATTTCTTCCTGTCTGCTCTAGTTTTCTTTAAAACATAAGACAAAGTAGGGAGGTTTCTTACGCGTGACCAGCGGAGGAGCAAAGTGTGCTTCTATTCCGGAGATCAAAGCAATTTTCCCACAATTCTCACATTTGATCCGTGATCTTGCGTTGCTTCCTGTCTGTATTCCCGAACGTCCGAATTTCGTCCTAACAGAATGAGAACAGTTTGTTCATTCATGGTAGGAGGCAATTTGGGACTTTGTTTGGATCGGAAATTCCATTCTAATGAATGAAACTCCGATCCTATTCGTGCTGCGGCTACATCTTGCAGCCGCTTAGTAGGTCACTCCCTAATTCCCACAGAATCAGGGAGCTATCTACCAAGAGACTAAAAATTACTTAGTATTAGTAAATAATCTGCCCCTACTCGCTATGCTGTGAGTAGGGGCATGTCTAGTAAACAGTGAGCAGCCAGAGGCTGCTCACTGTTTTAAAAAACCAAACCTTAGTGTCCACCCTTGCCGCGCAAGTGGGGGATATTAAACTGAACGTGGGACCTGTTGCCCCCGGCCCCCACCCATGAGCGGCGGGTGGGGGCCCTAAATAGAGTAAGGGGCAGGGGGAGTCTATTGTCATGTCCCGACCCCTGATCGACGGGTGGGGGCCCTAAATAACAATAAGGGGGGGAGACACCTATTGTCCTCCCCTGCAAACCACACCGCTGAGCGGCGGGTGGGGACCTATTGTCTTTCCCTGGACGGCGGGTGGGGGCCCTAAATAACAATAAGGGGGAGGGGAGACCTATTATCTCCAACCAATCATAGTGCTCTGTGTCATTTTACACAGCGTGGAAAAGTTCTTTGGATCACCGGAAACGAAGCACACTTTGCTCTTCTGCTGGTCAGAGATGGTCAGGCGTAGGAAACCTCCATAAGACAAAGTAGTCTCTACTTTGTCTTATGTTTTAAAGAAAACTAGAGCAGACAGGAAGAAATAAAGAACAGATCCTGATAGAGGGAGAGAAGAGGAATCGATTAAAGAAAGCTAAGTTCAGCATGACCGTGCCGCTTTAAGGTGCCGTTGACCCTATTATAATGCTTTAAGATAGTTCTGTTTTTGAAGTTCCTTCATTTGCTGCTAACCCCCAGGATTAAAGCTGCAGAGAGTTTTGTAAATCATTGTAGGTATAAGCAGCCGTGTATAGGCGATAAAATAAAAGAATATAGCATAAGTGATTACCTGTAAGTGCTGGGTCCCTTTTTTTTAGCATTGAGTACAGTTCTGCTAATGCACGTTCATCACAGGTTTCTCAGTCTAATGCTTTATTTTTGTTAAATGTAGGTGGAATATTTTTATAACTGGGTCTGCTTGCTTAAGTTCATGCTTATTGGAGTGTTTACATTATCTAGGCAATATATATAGATCTCTCTGCATTATCAAATCCTGTGCCAGATGGTTTCTTGAGGGTTATCAAGCTCTACCACTATATCTTTATACCCCTATTCTTCGTGTCATGTTAGCAATACACCTATTTTTAAATATCACTTCTTGATGTGAAAGGTGACGTTACTTTCATCCCAATTCATCCCTTTCTTAAAGGGATATTGACACAAGGCTAGGGCTGTAATTTTAATGAACCCATGCTAATTTATGCTAATCACCCTAGTAGGAATCCTTTAAGGGTCTACATTGGCAGATGGTAAAATTAGTCTTTACCGAATAAACTCCCACACATCTGTTTCTCAAAAAAATAAATTACTCTCCTAAACTGTGCAGCAGAAGTTTAGCTAGCCGTTAATGCATTACAATGTATCTTTGAAATAGATTTTGAATAGCTTTTCTTCTATGTATGATTTTTATTATTATTATTATTATTATTATGTAGTGTATGTATCTGTGTATATATATATTTATTTTTTTCCCCTTAGGAATATGTCAAATCGAGTACTACCACTTAATTTTCCTCCCTCTAAAATGGCCCTTTGGGATTCAACACCCAGGGGGGATCCTATTGGTTTGCATATCAGTTATTACAGGTATATAAGATTTCATCCTTCCAATTAACTGAGTGTAAAAATAATTATGATTGTCTGGGAATATATCTTAAGTTTTTAGTCCAGAAATTAGTTTCATAATGTCTAAATTTATCAGTCTTTCAAGGTTTTTTTCATGGTATGATTTTTGTTTTAATGAAAATTCAGGCACAATGTATTGAAGTTTTTTTTTTTTTTTTAAAAACACATCACTGGGAAGAAAAGAATTAGAGGGAAGAAAAAAAAACCCACCCAATTACTTCCTTTGTATTTCTATGTTGTCGATGTGATGCCTTAGACATCCGTGGGTATTCCTTCAGTAGTGCAATACTCGCTCAAATGACATGTGTTTGGCACTGTAGGGTATAAATTTAATTTACATGCAATGTCTAGCACTTCATCTAAAGAGTTCAAAGAAAAATGTAGAATTTTAATAAATAAACCCAGAGCTAATGTTTAACATTGGTATTTAACTATAGAACAAGTTATCAAAATATGTTCTGTGGTTTCCACAAAGTTATAAAACTTAGAAATAAAGGAACATTCTAATTAGAAAAAGTATTTATTATTTTTTGGTTTGGGTATTAGTGCTGGAAGAATCTGTTTGCTGTGTCTTTGACCTGCTTCATATGAATTTATCATTACTGACAACTTGTGTCAATTCAGATGCTTCTCCTAGATGGGTAGATGGGCAACCATGGTACCTGTTGCTACTCTAGAAGTGCTCATTTATTCTTTGATATACCGATCATTGCATGAAGCAGGAAACAAATAGACTTTTGTACTTCTCTCTATTTCCCCACCCCTCAATTTTCTTGTGCATTTTGCATCTTAAAGGGGCACTATATTGGTATCAAAACATATTTTGCTTAATTAAGCAGTTATGGTGTGTATATGGTCAATTCTGACATTTGAGTTAAATCACTGTTTACGCAGCCCTAGCCACACCTCCATGTGGCTTACCAAGCATTCCTAAACACTTCCTGTAATGAGATCTAATGTTAATACTTCCTTTATTGCACATTGTTTCCTTTTAGAACTTATGCTTATGATATGCTTATCATACAGGAGCCTCCTGTGTGTGATTCATGTTTACAATTTACAGAGTTAATGTGTAAAGAAAGTTAAGATCTTATTTGAAACCATTTTTTCATGTCAGTCACGGCCAGGAGAAGGGTGGCTAGGTCTGCATAAACAGAAACAAATGTGATTCTTCTAAATGGCAGAGAATTGAGTAGTGGGATTGCAGAGGTATGATCTACACACCAAACTGCTTACTTTGAGCCCCTTAATGATTATACTCCCTCACTTGCCACATATCCTTTATATATTCACTTTTATTCTTTGCACTGGATCTCAGTACCTGAGTGCCGCCATTTTGTTCTCATTTGTTCATGCTGTTCGTCTTGTGGGGGGGATTCAGACACAGGAAGCTAAATAGAAGGGCATTTGATGACATTATATATTTGGTGACAGATCTGCTTTTTTAGAGTTTTGACTAAATCAAAACTGTTTATGATGTATACTGTCTGATACCATGTTTGTTTCTGAATGGGCTAGAAATCCCAAGCTGTTGGTGTCTGAGAAGGCTCTGCGGCTCTCCTATCGCCATGCCAAATCCGAGAGAAGGCTGTTTTCCTGTTTCCTACTCGGGTCTTTTACTGTGGATGAAGGTCTGTGTTTATGAATGCTCTTTTGCTTTCACTAGTAAAGAAATGTTTTAAAACAGAAATGGCTCTTGTGGAGTCTTTGCATTATTTTTTTCCCTGTCTGAAAGATATATCCCAGTTCTGATCTTGTGGTGCAATAAAATGGCAACATGTGGTGGCCACTGATAGAAACTCTGGCCACTTCCACATTATGCTAAATAGTGTTTTATTCATCAAATAAAGTAGTTTTTTTTTTGTTTTTTATATATCTTCTGAAAGTATTGAAATTTTTTTTTTTTTAAGGTTACAGTGAATTTTAAATATACTTTTCGCCCTAAACTAGTGATGGATGTTCTTGCCTATCCTGATATTTATTAATTACGTTATCTCACTCAGATAGGTATAGCCCCCAGTGCCCCAAAATACATTAAAAATGTTAGACTCCCTTTCTGACCAAATCCTGTTTACCTTCGTATCGTTGCATTTTTTTTTGCATCAATGTTACAATTAAAATTCCGAAATTGTTTTTTTTTGTTTGTTTTTTTTTGTTTTTTTAAACTACTTGATCGCGCACATTTTAGATGCTATCTGAAACTGCAATTGTTTACGTGCAGAGCCCATATTTCCTGTATTTATTTAAATACATATATAGGATGAAGTTATTTGTTTCCATCAAAAATGTTTTGCGATTTCAGCCCATGTTGGATAGTTCTGGAAAATTACTAGGAAGTAAAATCTAGAACATTTTGTGCAGAAGTAACTTAGCTGAAGTGAGCAACTGTCTGTTCATACCCATTGATTGTGTGTAATTGTCCAATTAGATATTTTTGTCTTAAATTGTTACCTTTATTGCAATGGACTAACAAGTTAAAGGTCTGTATAGCCTTAAAACAAGAATATCCCTCTCATGACTCTGGAATGTAATTTCTGGAATTATTTCTTTTAGATGAGGAAGGCATTACTTTAACTGTTGATCGATTTGATCCTGGCCGGGAGAAGATCTCTGGTGGTGGCAAAATTCCAAGTACTCTGCTCCCTGGAGATTTTGTTATACCCTGTTCCATTGTCAACAGAGAACATTCAGGGCCTCTTGCTGTGCATACTCCAGAGGATTTTAAATCTTCATTTATGGTAAATTTTAAGAGGAGTTTTTTATTTTATTTATTATTTATTTATCCAATCTCCCCTTTGAAAAATAAATAAAATAAAACAGTCTTTACAAGCTGTTTACTGTCTGTTATTATTAGACCTTTACGTTTTGAAACGTCTAGTCTTCCTTTCACCATGTTTTTTTTAATGTGTAATGATTAACCTGATAAAGTGTCTCCAGGGACACTATAGGCACCCAGGCCACTTCATCTCATTGAAGTGATCTGGGTGCAGTGTCCCTGTGCCCTATAGTCCTGGAGGAGGGGCTTACTCAGAGAGACGGAGGAACAGAGGGTACTATGGTGTAAGGAATACAACTTTTGTATTCTTTACATTATACAATCCCTTTAAGGTACATCAGGGTATACTGGCAAAACAATTGTTCTTCGAACTGAATCCCTGATAAGAGAACTCTAAGCATCAGTAGTTGTACTGGTTTTTGTGCCAGGATTGTCCTGGTGCTGTCTCACTGTCATTATTGAAACAGTTTTTAGTGCAATTTCATGGTTTACCTGGCTCCCCAAATGGTCATGCCACATTGGGCCTTATTTTCAAGAAAAAGCTAAATGTCACTGTAGAGTGACGACTGACCGATGTGGGATGGTGCTAATTGGCTGAAAGCACTCAGCTGATCCTGTCCATCAATAAACACAGTCCTGCATTACACCTACTTAATTCTATAGGTCTGCAGGTAAGTTGTCAAACCATATCTGTTTAATTTCTCATGATGATTGTACATGCTCTTGGCCTATTTAACAATGTCTGATATAAATAATTTATTTGAAGGGAAAAAGAAAAACTAAAGTAAATCAGTTTGACAATTATTGTGAAACGGCGCTAGAACACTCCTGGCTCCCTAACTGCTACTGTGAGCTGCAATGGTTGAGGTGCTTGGAGGGTTCTTTGAACCGTGAGATCCAGGGGTGCATATTCGCTGAACAAAAGAAACCTGAAATTGTGGAGAACTGAGTAGGGCACTAATTCTTAACCTATTCTATGAAAGAGGCACATCATGTACTTAGCATTATCTTGGTCACTCATCCTTAAGGTGCAGAAATAGCTCAGTGAACTATTAATTATAGCATAATGAGCGTTTTTAGCCCTCTTTAGGATCATACCCGTATCAGATGGTCTCCACTCCTCGGGAATGCAATGTAGATGCAGTAAGTAGCTCATTGTGAGCATTATGGCCATGATGGGCCTGTTACTTAAAATTAGCACGGGGTCCATTTTGTGTTCCTACTTGCTAGTTAATAACAACTGGACCAATTCATTGTTGCAAATATCTCTCTCACTGTCTTTTTATATTTATATATTTGAGAAGTCTTTGAGCATAGAAACTCAATGAATCCTGTTAATAAATAAACATAAATATGTGTATTGAAACTTCTAATGCCAAGATGCTCAACCACACTGTGTATATGTGATAACTTTTTGAGTGTAAACTTTTTTTTTTTTATTATTATTAACCTGATTGTTTTGTGTGAAATATTTGTTCTTCCTCCAGTGTTTTTTTTTTTTTTTGCACGTACAAAGCTGATGTCATTTCAGGATGTCAAGTAGGAGAGAGGAGGTGAAAATTACCATTGTTGGGCTCTAATTGTATTGTTTGTCAGATGAAAAAGAAATGCATGTATTTTTTGTTTTTTTTGTTTTAAGGGCCTGCAGAGCCATCTTCACAGCAAAGAAGCCTTGGATGTCTCTAAATTGCTGATTACGCGAGCACATATCACTTACACAGAAGACATGGACAATGTTCACTTTGATCTTCACTGGGCGGCAATCACGGTAGCGAATACATTTGAAAGTACTCCCGTCAAGCCTCTCCCAATTATCCCCACAGCCCTAGCCAGGAACCTGAGCAGTCACAATAATATTGCACAGCTTCAAGGAACACACAAATGCGGGTAAGTTCCATTTATTTTGAGTGTTCTTTAATATATCAAAATAATACTAGTTTGTTTCAACTTTACAAATGCTTGTGGTTATGGCCTTGTTGCAAAGTGATATTTAAAGTACTTGTTTGTTTCCATTTTCACAAAATGCTTCTTTTTGACCACTGATGTAATATAAATTGAATGCATCTGCACTGAACTCTAAAGACAAACTTCATGTGAAAGTTTATTATGCTCGCTCTTGTACAGTCTGGTTTTAACCCTTTTGAGTATATTTTTAAATCCTAATGTTGCCATGTGGTACTGCTATAGTGCTTGCAAACAGCATTTTGGTAATAATTGGGCTTTAAGCAATGTGTATACCTTATGCACATCTACATCTTTTTTCCTGTTTAAATCTACCAAATTTACCTATAACAAACAAACGCTATTATACTTTACTGAAAGAGAGGTGTGTGTAAAATTGTGGCCGTAGATGTTGCAAATCCACTGGAGATTTTCAGTTTCCAAGGTTATTACAATGCATCACATTATGTTAGTACATTCAGATAATCTAATTACTGACAGTAATGGACGCTGAACACGCTCTTCAGAATGATGTCTTATAATTTTTTTTATTTGATCGTGTTTTGCTATGTTTAGTAAGTCAGAGCTCAAAATTTCTACTCACCACTAGCCTTTTAAAGAGTAGAATATTCTGCCCTGGTAAGTGTCGTGGACCCTCTGGGCTTGCCATGTCAAGTAACTTTTTTAAGGCCTTGGCTAATAGTGAAAGATTGGATACTTGGTATAAGTTATAGGGGGAATTAAACAGACATTTTAAAGGGTCACTCTTGGAATTAACACAAGTACAATGGGCACTCTGGCCATTGTAAACACTACATGCTGTAATGGTTATGGTGCTATGATACTCCAGGTGCTGCCTTCTTGTAGTCTGTTTAAAACCATTTATTTTCCTTGTTGTCCGCAGTCTGCAATTCTTCTGGTCTGGGCTGGGCTGGTAAATGATGCTACCGGGGGTGGATTCACACCACCAACAGCAAAAGGGTTGAATTTTGTGTGTGCAGCATTTTGTAACGAAGCTCTGCTCCTACAGACTCAAAGCACCATGACCACTTAAAACCACTGAAGTTATCATAGTGCTTGGAGTAACTCTTTAAATGGGACATTAGTTTAATTCCATACCTTTAGTAATACTGGTTTTAAATTAAGAAAACCTAGATTCTGCTTACCCCGGTGCTCGAACTGTTTGACAAAAAGCCAAGCACGCCCATCTGGTGAAAAAGGATGGATACACTGTAAAGTGCTAGGACTACAAATATGTTGGATGAATAATGATAGGTATATGCATAAAAAAAGTTAATCAAAGAAAAACGTAAACCATTTATTTTGAAGTAAATAGAAATTGCTTTCCATTGATAGAATGAGCAGTTGGATATCGGTTGGTAATATATCTGAGAAGGGACATGACAAACTTATTTAGGTGCATATGGTGCTTGGAAAATGTCTTTAGTTTTAATTACTTGGCAAACTGACAAAATAGAAGCGTCAAAGTGGAGCATGCAGCTCTGGCTGCAAGTCCTGTCCATCAGAAAGCACTTAGTCTCTCAGCACCCTTAGCGTGTCAAGATGACAGGGACTCCGTGGGTAGTTGTACATTTGTTTTTGTGTATGTGGCCTGTATATTCATACACCTTATCTTGGTTATTGCAGCAAATACTGTGCTTTTAGATATAATTGGCCTTTTATTGTTCAGTTTTGCACACATGGATTTGAAATGTACTTTATTCCTCCTGTCCTTTTGATAGATATTTGACAATGGATCAAACACGAAAACTCCTCCTCCTCTTAGAATCTGATCCCAAAGTGTATACATTGCCTCTTGTTGGGATGTAAGTATGAACCTTTTTAGAAAAGCTGCCTGTTCCTAGTATGTGGGTTGTTTTTGTTTTTTGTTTTTAAATATGCAATGGTTGCAAAGAAAATAGTGTGTGTTAATTGCACCATTGGTGAAATTCAGACATGATAATGACTCTTCAGTCTTTTATATTAAATATGTGTGCAATACCAAGTGGGGTAAATATGAATCTGAATTATGTTTCTGTTGATTTGTCCTTACAGTTGGCTGAGTGGAATAACCCACATTCACAGTCCACAGGTGTGGTCTAGCTGTCTGCGTTATATGTTCAGCTCTTCAATTAAAGAAAGGTAGCTACTTGTGTTGCAAATAGCAGTTTTTCGTCTCATTTTACACATAAATTTAATTTTAAAAATGCCCCTCTTCATATAGTTGGCTAATTAAATGCTAATCTGTGTTTTCAAATATGAATTCATTTTTAATCCGCATCTTATAAAACGTGAAATTCAAACCCAGACAAAAGAGATCATGAGACAAAGTAGGAAGCACTTTGTCCTATGTATTTTTCCTATGCTTGACAAATGCAGTACAACCTTTCGTGATTATTTACAACTTTAACATGAAGGCCACCATAGCCACTATATGTCAATGTAGTGGTTATGGTGCCATTCGGCTGCAGGTTTTATTTATTTTTAATTTTTTTTTTGTGTTTTTAAAGCCATTCTCTGGATAACCTGCTCAGGAAGGGAATTGCTTTAAAATGTGGATGACATTGATATTGCTAATATGAAAGCAGAGGCCAGGCTACCTGAGCCTCGGGAACCCCTGTTATGGTCAAACCGTTTGAACAGTTTTACGAAGTCCAATGGCATCATAAACATTGTGTGAGCAGGTAGTGGTTGTGTTGTTTAGACTGACAATCCAATCAGGTGGGGATACTGGAGTTTACTAGCAATATGCAACAAGTGTAGCCGATATGGACCAAGTAAATATAGGTGATCACTCAAAAAAAAAAATGTAATCTCTGGCATTGTTTCTATTCACAGAGTTCTGTCCGAGTCGGGGAGTTTTCTAATCGTCCTTTATTCACGTACACATAAAGAACCTGAGTTTTATGAGTGTGTTTCTTGTGCAGGACATGATCATCTTGCCTTCCAGCTGCTAACTAATGAGGATGTTTTGCATCTATTCAAAGTAAGATTCGATTTGCTCACAGTAATATCCTAGTTTGTGGACCGTTAATCTATTGTATGTGTTTTTCAGATAGAAGAAAAAAATAACGTTATAACTGATGCAGAAGTTTTCATTGTTTTGTTTCAGAACGTTGAGGTTGGAAGAAAAACACATCATCAGTTTGAGTTTTCCACGGAAAGCCACAATCCTGATTCGTTTCTATTTAAGGAAGCCGCCAAGAGCATTTCGGATACAGTGTAAGGTTCCCTAAAAAGCACACCAGTCCTGTAAAGGGTTACTCCAACCACCACGACAAATTCTGCTTTGAGTATAAGTGGTCATGTTGGTAGGAGTTGTTTGTGTAGCGTTTCTGCTTGAAAAGCTGCACATACAGAAAGCTTTGTGCCGAGGGCTACGTGCACTCCTGTACATTTCACTTAGACAGTCTGTGTTCCAGGCTGCCTCATGTCAGTTCTGTGCAAAAAAATAAATCTGCCGCTGGTTAGTACTGCACACTGGCGAAAGAGGTTCACATCTCATCTATGTCCCATCCCTTCCCTGTTTAAGCCTTTATGTGATCTTAAGATGCTGGTTGTGTCTATTCTGTTTTTGTTTTTGTTTTTCTCCCATCACTTTGTGTCCGGCCCCATTCACTCTTTCGTGTGCACTAAGAGCAGGTAAGATAGTCCAATCAAATGCTTCTTTCTGAGAAGTTTGATTGGAGCACGATCGGGCAGCAGTGATGTCAATTGAGACATGGAAACCAGTGCGGGGAACTTTGTCGAGCATTGGTTTCCAGGTAAGTAATTTCTTTATTTTCAGCATTATAAAGGGAGGGAAAAAAACTGATTAATATTGTCCATTATGGCTTTTTACACACCATGCAAGAATGTTATGCAAAGAGTAACCCTTTAACAGATATCGTAATATGAAATAATGACGCTGAACTCCTATGCCATTCTCCACCCCATTTATTATTGTTTACAGCATTACTTTATGAACATATATGAATGTCCATGATATTTAATCTGTTGTGCTCAGCAAATGTGTATATCAAATATTTCTCTTGCCTGAATCCGTCATTTTGGTGTGTGGAATGTGTACTAATATTTCACCTTCCCACAATGCTAAGTGTGTAATCCTGCATTGTTTATTGCATATCTACATGTTTGACTTTAGTGTTTAGTGGACTTGTCATGTCCATGCATTTTATACTGAAGTATGCAGCAATGGCATTAGAAAATATTTTAAAAAGTGTGGGGGTATTTGAATTCACTTTTATTGCTGCTCGAAAGGGAGTGGTGAAAGCACTGTTCATAGGTTCTCTATTTCCACCTTACAACTCCTGGCAGAACTGCTGTTTTGTGTGTGTGTGTGTGTACACATGCACGCAGACACACAGAACTGGCTTTTGGTGAACATCCCATGCTACAGTTGATTTTACTAGAAAATATCTACATGGGGGTTCTCTTGGTGTGTCGCCAAGACATGCTAGAATTAAAATATGGGTGTCTAAATTCTTTTCATGCAAGTGGCTACATTGATTACCCTTTCTACATCTATAACAAATGCCCATTCTCTCCCTCCCAATGACAAAATAATTTTGTTAGGTGAAGGCCTAACCTTCACATTAGGCGCAACTGGTAAAACATGGTGATGTTCAGAAAGTTGAAACCTGCTGAAGTGATGCCCGATTAAGTTTGATTCTCAGCCTTGTGATAGAATAGTCTAAGAGATAAGGGGTAGATTAGCAAAGGATTCTGGTTGTAGCAGGTAGACTGGGCTTGCTTTTTTTCAGAACATGCTGAGATCAGATCATTAAATATATGTATAATCATATATTCTCTCCCTGCAGCGCATCTCCAAACAAATTGTCAACAAGCGACCATGACTCGGGAGTGGAAGATGAAGATTTTTCTCCCAGACCATCCCCTCGTCCTCATCCTTCAGTACCGCAGGTAAAACATTTCTTAAATGTTTTATTTACTTTGTGGGCTTGTGTTCAAAATTACTGATCTTCTACTCAAAGGCAGTTCTTAATTGTGGCATAAATGTAAACGTGTAGTTTTTTTGTTTGTTTTGCAAAGCAGAAAACAAACACAGTCTTCACGTTGAATTAAGATGAAAGTTTTGTTGCCTCAAAAATGTACTATACTATTAAATGTGAGATGTGCTAGAGATCTATATCTGTCTCTCGATATAAATCCGACCTGTGCATCGTATGCTGCGTAGTCACTTTGATAGGGAAAGTGGATGCTGTAATGTGACAATGTGACATTGAATTCTGGCACACGTAGCCTGTACTTTGTATTTCTAACATTTAGCAGTATGGTTATAAATTGGTAAGGAGACCAATCTGGCTGGAAATTTATGACCAAATGAACCAAGTAATGTGTGGCACTATTCTGAATAATTTTCAGATGTTCATTCCTTTATTTTTCTCATGATATAAGTATTCCTGTATTGACATTAATAGGGCTTCTGAGTTGGGAGCTTGTTTACTGTAACCACTATTGCCTTTTATCATAGGATGTGCATTATCCCGGTCTTCCTTTTTTTTCCATTTCATTGACGTAAAATCTACTTCATCCCCAACTCTTTAACAATAGATGGGGAAACTTTGGGTTTGTTTTTTTTTTCCCGGATTTCACAAGGCTTTGCTTGGTGTTCACATGCTCTACAAATACTATATAACTTGTATCGTTTTTTTCAGCCAGTAGTGCACCTCTAATAGTGTCTGATTGCTGGAGTCCAGACAGATCTTGAGATGAAAAGGGGAGTGTGGAAATGTGTGCATGGTTACTCTGCCTTTTCAAAAGGAAATTGTAATGTCAGAGTGAAATGGATCAGACATTCGTAATAGCTGCCTTTTGTTGTACATTAAAAAAATGTTCTAAACTCCAAGCACATATAAATATATTAAACTGCCAGTAGATGGCACTGTTTGTTTTGAATTTAAATTCTGTGTAATTCTTGTGCAATGTGTACTTGATTTGGAAAATCTTATAACATTGGTTAACACTTATTTTTATTTTTCCACACCTCAAATACATACTTATTAAATATAACATATCGAAAATCCTGGGAAACGACTGTTCTCTATAATACACCACAGTGACATTAAGTGATGTGCTGTGAAAATTGTACAACTAATTACTGTGCTATCCTGACTTCAGCGGCTGCTAGAACCAATTAACTTTTTTCTTCCATATGAAGAAATGGACATTATAGGCACATAGACCACTTCATCTCATTGATCCCTGTTCCCTTAACCCTGCAATGTAAAACACTGCCGTTTTAGAGAAACTGCAATGTTTACAATATTTATTATTAAAGCTCGAACAAATTCCGTAACTCTTTACACTGCAGGGTTAAGACTGCCTCTTGCGGATGTCGACCAGACAGCCACTACCGGTGCTTCCTGCAATTTCATGGAGTTTGACACCATGAAACGTCGCTGTACATCCTCACACTTTGCATCAGGACGCCCAGCATGTTGAAAAACCTCATTGGAAAGCATTGAGTAAATGCTTTCCTATGGGGAAGGCATAATATGCTTGTCGCACTTGCCGTGCATGCGTATTGGCTTCCCCACCATAGGATGACCTCTGAGGAGGCGTAATCCGATCCAGTGCCGAGGGACATAAGCGCTGGAGTCTTATTATTTTTTTGTTAATCCCTTTACATGGAGGGGGTGGGTCAGATAGACATTATAGTGTTAGGAATACAGTTTTGTATTTTGTATTGCTAACTTAAAGCGGCTCAGTCACTCCCACTACTACCACCCAAAAAAATAAATTTGAGCATTTCGTAAAGATAAAATCTTTAAGAAATGCTCATAAAGATTGTTGGAATTTAATTCAAATGCCAATGCAGTCAAAATTTATCACAAGTCGGAGTAGGGACTGCTTGTCTGTCTTCATCATTTGTTAGGTGGTGATGCAAGACAACAGAAGCTGACAGACCTGCTTTAAAGAACACTCCAGTGCCAGGAAAACAATCTGTTTTCCTGGAACTGCAGGTCCCCTCTCCCTCCTGCCCCCCATCCCAAGTTGCTGAAGGGGTTTACCTAATGGGCAGAAGTGGATTTTCTTATAGAAATTAACACATACAAAATTACTGATCTTCTACTCAAAGGCAGTTCTTAATTCTTAATGCACAACAGAGCCCTGTTCAGCTTGCATTAAAAAAAATTGGGCAGCTGTTTTTGTGTCTGGGTCAGTGATGCCAACCGTGACATTGTTAAAGGGACACTCCAAGCACCATAACTCATTGTATGGTTCATGGCTTGGCGGCTTCCATTCGCTTTCCTGAGCTAAATTCTACTGTTTATTGGCTGATAGCTTTACCGAATTACTCTCAGCCAATGAGCTACTTTCTGCACTGTGGATGTACACCGTGGACCCCAGGTAAGCTGTCAAACTGTTGGGAAATCGGTTGACTACTTACACTAGGGGGCACCAAAGGACTTCAGACACCATGTCCACTACAGTGCACTCACTTGGTTAGAGTGCTTGGAGTGTTCCTTTTTAACATGAGAAACACTGTTTCACTATACAGTTGTTTGACTGCTGTAGTTTTTTTAGTACTATGCGGTTTCCATAGCTATACAAACTTTAAATATGGATGTGGTGGCTGCATGCACTAGCCATCTTAATGTGTATCTGAGATGGCTGCATGATATAACCAGGCAACTATTGCACAATCATCAAAACTCACCCGATCTCCATGCATAAACTGTCAATATTCTGATTTGAAGGTGTCAAGATGACTGCCCCTATTGGTATACTTTTAAGTTGAATTTAGATATTATTTATTTTGATCACAAAATACCTTAATCATAGAATTCAGGACATTTGTGTGTGTGTGTGTGTGTGTAAACAAACAAAAAACCCTCAAACACTTGTCCACATGTGCTTATTTCACACAGGTAACAAGAATTCATCCATCGGTTCCTGAACTTTCTCTCGTCTTTGGCAGCATCATAGAACCAAATTCTCCATCACAGAATCCAGAAACTATCCAGAATAAGCTAATTTTGGCTTCACCCTCTACTCCAGACAGTGATAAACCTAATTTTGGTGAATCCGTTATAAAATCAACCCCAGCAACTGTGAGCTCAAAAGTATCAACAAGAAAAATGTCCAAAGGGAAAAACTCTCTGGCCGATTCCCAGCCAGCTCGACCGAAATCAAGCAACGAATCCAGAAGAAATTCCACATCTTCTTCTTCTCTTTCTACGCCTCGAAGTGGATCCTCGCCAGATTCCTCACTCCACCTGAACAAACCTGAGCTAAACTGTCAAATGAAGGGGCCACAACACTGTCAGCTTCCCATGAGAGCTACATCTCGCTGCCGACACACAGCTGGACCACAGTCTCCTGACTACAATGTGACCTTTCCACTTCCTTCAAGGAAATCTGTGGAAATGCCAAAACAAATGCTAAATTTGCATCCTTCATACCTAAATAGTGGTTGCAACTGCTGTCACAATCCTAGCCCAGTCCAATGCCATTCAGCCAGTTCATGGGCAGGCATGGGTCATCATGTTATGGAGAATAAGTCTGAACAGCATGGAAATGTCACCCCTACATATACTAACATGGCTTGCCAAAATATGTGCTGCAGCCCAATCTGTGTAAATAGCTGCCAGAAAAGTGCAGGACGTGCTCCATTGGATAACGTAATGTCCCCTGGGAGAAGAGAGTCATTGCCCATGAGTCCTTGCAGCCCTCACTCGTGCCATTACAGCCCACCACCGATGTTACCCACAGCTAATGGAATGTTGGGGCTTTCTGCCGAAGCATATCAGCTGTTAGCAGAGCAGGATAAACAGCTCAAATTGCTCCAATCACAGGTTAGATTTTCATTCTAAATCCCTCTTCTTTCCATGTATGTGTATTGTTCTGCTGCTGTTAGTGTTTTCTTAAATAATTGGCAAAAGGGCAGATTTAAGAAATCCCCAAATATTTAACTTTATGGGGTACACTATGCTAGTAGTAAAAAAACACCACTCTTTGGGTTCTATTCCCCACGATGCTCCACCAGATTATCATCATGACAGTTTGTTTTTTATCTATATTAATATATAGATAGTGTGTGTAATGTATGTACCACATCTTCTTTATAGATTCAGCGCTTACTTGAAGCCCAGACTGTAGCCTTTGAATCGTGTAAGCCTCCATTAACCAAGAAACAAACGGAGTCCGTTACCATGGAAACATCAGAAAGTGAGAAGAAAACATGTGTGAGCATTGCCGTTAGTACAGGTAATTTTGTTTCCCTTGTCTTTGCAATTTTCTTTAAAGGGAAGCAGATTTGAGCAGGTATAGATCTAATCTGTGCAGTTTGCTGGTGGGGTTATCTCACAATTTGTAGGAGTTGTTGTATGCAACAGTAATTTAATAGTTTGCAGCCTGCTTTACTGTTATGAAGATGGTATGCCAATGGCACGGCTCCTACCTAGAACAGTGCCTTACTGCAGGCTCAGTCCCCATCCATTGGGAAAAAAAATAACAATAAACATCTTAGATCCCATGCTGAGGCCAAGTTATCCCTGCAACCTGATCTTTCCTCAGTGACATCACTCGTCCTTCTCGGCAGGCTGAGAGAGGACTTGGGGTATCACGGTGGTAAACATACAAACTCCAGGCACCATGACCAATTCAAACCACTGAAGTTGCTATGGTTATTTTGCTTGTGTGTATTTACCCCTTGCTCATTTAAACAAAGCTTTCTTCAACTTTTGCCTCTCAATATTTTGTATGTCAATTACTTGATGTAAATGTCCCCATTTTAAAATTGTATAGGGCTGCTGAATATGTTGGCTATAGAAATTGTGATAATAATGGTGCTTGGAGTGACCCTTTAATCTTTGCAATATATATTGCTTTTTAAAATATCACCAGCAGATGGCAATGTTGAGCAAACTTTATTAAATTGGGAGTCCCTGCAACTGCTGACGCTAGTTTTGGTGTGTCTATTTACAATAAGCCAAATACACATGCATTTTGTACTTATGAAGTCTAACTTTTCTGTTAAGGAAATAGACATTCTGGACTGCATATCTGCCATTAGTTTGTGGTTTGCTTTTGTACACAATATTAAGTGTTTAGAGTTAGTTCTGTCAAAAAGGAAGCCGTCCTAGAGGCTTTTTGTATAGAACATGGTATTTTGACTCCATTATGTTTACTGCAACTCGCAGTGAATTCGAGCCTAGTACTGTGATAGGATGCAACCTTTGTCATAAGTCAGTTTGTAAAATTTCATCCATGCCAGATATTCCACGCACAACTGTATGTGGTTTTATTGTAAAATAGAAAATATAGAAACCGTTTGGGGAAGGCCCCTTTCTATTCCATGACTGTGCCCCAGTGCACAAAGCACGGTCCATAAAGACATGGTTGGCTGATTGTGGAAGAGCATGACTTGCCCACATAGAACCCTGACCTCCACACCATCAACACCCTTTGGATGAACTAGAATGGAGATTGTGAGCCTGGCCTCGTTCAACATCAGCGTCTGACCTCACAAATCCTCTACTGGATGAGTGGGCAAAAGTTCCCACGGAAGCACTCCAACGTCTTTTTTAGAAAGCTTTCCCAGAAGAGTGGAAGCTGTTATAGCTGGAAAGGGGGGACCAACTGCATATTATAGTCTGTCTTTTTAGAATGCAATGCTATAAAAGCCCCATGGTGGTGAAATGGTCTGGTGTCCCAATGCCTTTGTTTATATTGTGTATTTCTTAATCTAACATGAACTAGTTTCACAGTGCTTACACATAGAAAAGTATCCTTCTAGTGCCTTTCAGATTTATTTAAAACATTGAAATTCTGGAAACAAAAGTGACAGAATTCACTTTTTTTTTTTTTTTTTCTCCATTCTTTAAGGTGCTAGTTTGTTTTGGAACTCCCCATATCCTGAGGAAGAAGAGTCTGTGGACCAACAGGATGATTCTGTCCTGTGTAATGAGTTACGTGCTGCTGTGAACAATGAACAAGATGCAAGCCGTACCAGCATTGCTTCCTCTTTAAAAGCCGTGGACATCTGCAGTTTTGCAGAAAGCAGTCAGCTGACAGAGAGAGGCAACATCTCCTCTGCTCCATTCCAGTAAGTACCCTTTGTACACTCGCTGTCCTGTTATAATTATATATCGCGTATTTACACTCAAACGTTTCAGCAGCTGTTAGAATTCTAGCTGTTATTTCTGTTCCTTAATGTATGTTCAGTTGGCAATATTATCTACCACAAACCATGGTGCAGGGTGGTTATCCCCACACGCTTAGACCCCTATCTTTATAAAGTTATCTTCCTTTTCTTTTTTTTTTTTTATTTCTTTTTTGTGATTGCTTCAGAAATGTCACCATTTTATCGATGACCATATTAATTAGTAACACTTTTTTTTTTCTCTCTCTCTCTTAACTGTTCGCTCAACTACTTTGCTTGCCCCACACAATTGCAGTACGGCAGGGAAATTCAAGAAATTACCGTATATATTTTGCTACTCCAAAACTTTATTAGGTGTTGTTTTTTGACATTAATTATATGAGCATTTTTCCCCTCCATCGACACTTTTTAAAACAATTCAACAATTCCTGTTCTGTCCTCTGTAGATGGTGTGAAGAACAATTTGGGATTGAGGTTGTGAAAAATTATTTGATATTGTGGTGTGTTTTTTTTTTTTTGTTTTTTTTTTTAATTCATGCTGGCATCAATATTAACTGTACAAATATATATTTTTTTTTTCTAGTTCTTTAAAGAACAAGCCCTACTTTCCCGTGTTGCAACGGGATGGTGTCCGTGATCAGGCAGCTCGACCAGAGGACTCAGGGAGCCCAACAGAAGCTGAGCTGGATCAATATATCCCCTCTGATCCTCCGGAGAAGTTTTACCAAGACTTAATGGTGAGCTTTACTTTATAAGATTAGTGTCATTGCTGCACTTGTGCTTCCTATGCTCTATACAAATACAAATCTCTAATGGGTGATTAAATGATGTGTAGATGTTAATCCAATTTTTGTTTATTTGTTTTGCCTTCCCAGTGTCAAGTAAACAATTTGTTAAAGACCTCAACTACTATAGATGAGGAATCTTGTGTCAGTGTCTCAAATACCCCATCCAGAGCATGTCCTCCTAGAAAGGAGAAGAAAAAGTCTAATTCAAAGAAGGATGACAACAGTGTGTTGACAGCAACCCTTAAGCAACTGAAGAGTCTGGGAGTAAATGTCAATGCGGATGCATCTGACGTAAAGACCAGACATTATGATACTGCAGACAATGCATGGTAATTTTAACTTGATTATTGTTGTGTTTGAGATGTCCTATTCTAAAGTTTGAGGTGCCAGTTTGCAAAATGTTCTTATTACACCTTCATAGTGGTGGAAAATATTCTGCAATATTGAACGTTCCTGGGTAAACCGGTTCTGACTTTTTGACTGCTGTAAATTTATTTAATTCATGGCAGATCAATACATTGGGTATACTGCACCTTGTTAAAAGCCTCATCTGATTTCCAAAGATGATGGACTGAGAGCCTGAGCATAATGATTTGTTTAAATAATTCTTAGCATTTCATAGTATGTTTATTTTTTCTCATTATTTTTAAACCTTAATGATGTACAGTATTAAAACATTTCTCTCTCATCTTTCAGTGTACTCGCCTGCATTAACCCAGAGGCAGTCATTCCAAGGTTAAACTATGTCTCGTTTACAAATATTGGCTTGAGTGGGTTTGCCCCAAATGGAGTTGATTTGAGCATGGAGGCCAACGCCATTGCCTTAAAATACCTAAGTGAGTCCCAACTGATACAGCTCTCTGCAAGCAACTCACACAAGGGCAAACTGGTGGATGCTTCAACAATCGCCAGTCTCTTTCCTGGGAATACAGATAAAAGCATGGTTGGCCTCAGTTTAATTTCCCCAAACAATATGTCCTTTGCCACAAGGAAGTATATGAAACGGTATGCCCTGATAGATAGCAGCGACAGAAGTGATGACGAAGATGATCTAACAGCTGACGAAAGCTTGTCTGAGAGTACTGGGGATGGGAAATATGTGGATGATAAACGGGTGATTTCTAGTTTTTCTGTCACTGAAAGCTTTGAAAGGATTAGTGACAGATCTAACCGTGATAGAAAGAACTCAAACCGAGATGGTGACGTTGGATGTGTTAATCACCAAGAGACAAATAAACTGAGAAACATTACAAACGAGATCCCACCAAAGAGTGGAATTGTGCCGCAGCACTCAGAGGAGATAGATTTGCCATTTTTTAAGAACTTTAACACCAAACCAAAAGCACTTGGAAATGCTCAATTCACCAAGCACTCAGAGAAGGAAAACTCTGGCACCCCATTAGTCTTAACTAAAAAAGACTCCTCGCTAAAGCAAATACCAGATTCCACAGGTTCTGTTGGGGACATTTTAGATGTCAACCGACTTAGACAACTTCCAAAACTGTTCTGAGTGTTTGTTATAAGCAGGTCATTGTAATGCCAAACTGCTCCTGTTCAGTATTCCTTCCTATGGAAGTACTGGCAACAGCTATTCAGGTCTTTGTCAAACCAACACCCTTATAGTCTTGTTTCTATTGCACTGCGAATACTGTGAAAGTAACTTTCTGATTACTGTACTAGGTCAATCTGTCAGACCTTGTGTGGCGGCACATGTATTGATATCACAATGTGTGTAATTGGATTAGCAACACATTAGTGCCTTTTCTGTGAGGGAATTTTGTACTTTCTGTTTTGAAACCTTACAGCTTTGTCATTGTCAAACTCGTGAATCAGTTGTCACTCATATTTGTCTTCAACAAATTTTAATTGAGCCCAAAAGAGCGTCTTCTGCAGGGATATTTGTATTATATTATGTTTTTTTTAATAATGGCATGTTAGATTATTTAATGGTGCCAGGTTTTATTCCTGATCATGTCTGTTGACAATGGGGTAACTAATATACCCGCTGCGTGTTTTGTGTGTGTGTGTGTGTAATCAAGGTTTACACTTTACAGAATCCAAAAATGGTTGAAACTGTTACTCTAGATAACTTTCTGTATTTTTGTGCACATTTTATGATCTAATGTGGTCTTAATTGTTTCCTCACTTTTTTATTTGTATTTGAATGTGACTATATTAAATATTTTATATTTTTTAATAAAGAAAACTTTAACTTTTTTTTCAGGTTGTCAAGCAAATGCAAAGTAGCTCAGTAGAATAATTCAGACTGTGGATCTTATTCAAACATCAGTGTCATTGGTGCTGTTCCCAACAGGGAAAACAAAGTATTTCCTAACCCCTTTCTTGATAACCCCTCCTTATGGAACACATTTTATCTATGAATCAAGACGTGCTTGAAATTCAATTAAATGCTTACTGTGTTATTGCTAATAAAGCACTTTGGAGGGGGCAACATATACCCATTTCTTTGAATTATCCACAAATTCCATGTCATTTGACACTGTGAAGTGCATTTTTTTTTCACAGGCTTAAATAGAAGGAGACTGACTCGAGCACTGTGAACAATAAGCAGAAATTTCGCATACACACACACAATGTCCTCCCCAAAAATAACAGGTCGGGTTCAGCTATGAGGAAATGACATGTGTTCTTTTATTTCCATCAACTTTGTTTTTAAAATGGATTATATATTGGCAGCTTCTAAGAGAGTCTCAAAAGTATTTTTTTAATTTTTTTTTTTTTTTTTGGGGGGAAGATTTTGCCCCCATGTTACAGGTTGCAATTGGCCGTAACAAATGGTAAAAATACAAAGTTGGATTTAGATGTTATTAGAGAAGAAACGTATTACCTCTTAGGTGAGTCCTACACTGTAATACAAAAGCAAATCTAAAATACTAAATTACTCTGTGCCCATGAGTAGTTTGAGCACGAGGTTTAATTTTGTTTGTTTAAAACGTTAAAGCAGTTGATAGATTTTGGCCTCATTAATATGATGTATTTTCTGCATGCTCAAATCTATATTTTTACACAAAAAAGAAAAAAATGTTTTGCAGAATGTTGCTATAAACCGATCGCCTAGTCACACACCCTTATGCCTTATTAAAGGTGTGAACACATTCTCTGCACCAGCAGCACTGAGTGAGAGAAACTATGAACTGGTAGTGATATCCTTGCTATATGGCTCGCTGGGTGTCCTCTCCTTCAAACGCAGGTTGTTTTGTAGTTAAGCTCATTCAGTACTGTCAATGGCTGAGCTGTGTGCATACATTTGGTAAGGAAGTATTTTTCTGGTGTGAGGGGGTGTGGTTAAAGAGGTAGGCTTATGGTGTAGCATTCTGCAAAACTTTTTTTTTATTATTATTTATTCAAAAGCTATGCTTTGCTTATTGGTGAGGACAAAACCTTTCAAATTCACGAAGGTTGTAATGGTACTTGGAGTGTCTCTTTAAGAACAAGCACACATTATAGTGCTCTTTCAAAAAGGTACAGAAACTATTTCATCAGGTCATCCCAATTGCTGCATACCTCCCAACATTTAAAGTGGACAAGGAGTGTGGCCACGGGAGGGCTTACCCTGAGACATTTTAGGTAACTTACTAATAACAATTTATGTAACTTAAATTTAATTTAGAGCAAGAACAATGTATCTTATATACACAGGCTGATTTTCTAAACACATTTTATTGTAGTTTAAATACGCATTACTGTGAGTATTATTGCAGTGGAACTCTGTGATACACTCACACACCAGCTATATGGAGCTCCAAGAAAAGAGGGACATTAGGATAGAAAATATATAGGATATGGACAGCGGGATTTGGGACCAACATAGGGGTTGTCCCTCCTATATAGATATATTTTGGAGGTATGCTGCAGATAGCATTTATGGTATGTATTTATATGGTATTGTTCTAAAGAGCCAGTGGCTAGAGCATATTTTCAGATTAACATGTGCTGGACAAGTAGGATGGTGTATGTGTCTATAGTTGCAGTGAAATAAATTGGATAAAGCCGGTGTTAAATCTCATTCAATCCCACAAACGAAATTTCATCAAGGAAGTACAATGAGTAGCTAAAGTTACTTTGGAACTGCTACTCTGCAATGGATTGCCATAATTTGTGTTTAATTATACAATTTCAGCAGAATTTGCACAATGTATTGTCTGTTTTTATGGAGGTGGCTTGGCAGTCAATCCCCAAAGTGTAAAAATGATGTAAAGTTGAATAACTCCTCTTAACTACACACATCCTTGCAGATTAGGCAGTACTATGTGTAGATTGTGTTTTTTTCTCTCTCTTCAAAATGACTCCTATACATAGGAAAAAGTAGTCTGTACTTTTTCTCATGTTTTTTTTTTTTTATGAAAAACTAGAGCTCTCTGGGAAAAAATAAGAGATTCAGACACAGGGAACTACATAGAAGTGAATTTTTGGTGACATATCTGCTTTAATATCAAGTCACTTTAATTATGCCAGGTACACTTTACACAGCAGGAGTGATCTATATCCGAAGAGGAGTCCAGAGTACAAAGCATGTTTTTGTTTATAGATGTTGAACTGACTAATGATTTACAAACCACATTCATATTTGTATACAAACCTCTAAAGTGTAATATGTGGCGCTTTTACAAAGTGCAATAAATACTTAAAGTGCAGCTAGTTATCACTGTGGAACCAATAATGATAATTCCCTATAATAAAGAACACCGCAAACAAATTATGAACAGCGCACAATAAAATATTGTAATGGATTATATCTTAATCCGTAAGTGCAATGACATGCAACCCTCTAAAAATGTGTATACATATGTATTCTAAAATATAATAAAAGCACACCTATAGCCCCCCAAGTCTGGTATAATTATCACTGCAGAAAATGAGAAAACAGAAGAAAAAAAAAAATCTCATAGGGTAGTATAGTAATCACAGGTACTTGGATGATAATTCTCTTACAGTATCACACTCACATTTTTCTGAGCCTGTTCGAAAAGCTGGCTCGGCTAATACAGCATAGGGGTGATAGTTGTAGTTCCAGATAGGGTAAGTGGCACAGCACACTTCCTGAGGAAGATGCAAGGAGCGTTGAAACGCTTTGTGCTGTGTTATATTACTGTGGACTTGTATTCTATGGCACTCCAGTTACTTGAATGTAAGATTTTTCTTACCTTAACTGGTGTTGCATTCTCCTGTTTAAGAAAAGATGCCCCTTACCCTGTCTGAAACTTCAACTCTCACACCTATGCTGTATTACCTGAGCCAGACATTTTGTGTAGAAGTTCACAAAACATAGTTTCTGATAAAAACTACAGAATATTGAGGCCAAAATCAATCAAATACATTACATTTGTTTTAATGCAATGAGTTTCCCCTCTAGCAACAGAAGGAACACATCGAAACATTAAAAACTACAGAATATTGAGGCCAAAATCAATCAAATACATTACATTTGTTTTAATGCAATGAGTTTCCCCTCTAGCAACAGAAGGAACACATTGAAACATTAAAAGACATTGTCTAAGTAAGTAGATCTTTTCTCTTCCACGCAAACTGGGAAAATGTTTTTATGGTTTAACTTAAAATGCTATTTGACAACAATTAAAAAATCAGACTGTTAATATAATCTCCATGATCTGCTTGATATTGTTATTGCTCCTATCTGACTTTTTAATGGTTAATCTATCTGAATATTACTCTGTTTACAATTGTGATGAAAGCCTAGCCAAACTTCATGTACAACAAAAAATTAAAATGTCAAACACCAAGGTGTTGTTATAGGATTTATGAGGGGGAAACAAAAAGTTGTTTGGAAGAACTTTAAATTTAAAACGTAGTTTCTAAAAATAAAGAATCCCCTGTAGATAACCCGCCTCCCTGTCTTTTGGGACAAGGTCACACGTTCTTTCAAACGATTATGAACAAATGAGGCTGCGGAGGGTTTCATGGAAGTTTGAGTTATGGAAAAACTCCCAATAAATTGTCTGTTCGGTAACACTCTGCTTGTAAAGACGTTTAATCTAAAAATAACAGTCACTTTGCCAAGTCTGTTCCCTCTCTAGCATTTCCTGTTGGGCAGAGGAAGTGGGCTGAAACCGATAGTGTTTCCTGGATGTAACCTAAACATCACAGAGAGGCAGCAGTGAATAGGCTTTCATACTGTAAATATCTCTTCCTGCTTCATACTGAAGGCCCAGCATCGTTTGCTGCCTGTCTCTGCTCTAATAACGCAGACAGATAACGGAGGCCTGAGAAGCCAGTCTCTGATTAGTCCTTGCAGAACCTACCCCATGCTGATTTGGGTTTGCATTAAAGACAAAATGTTCAGCATTAAAATCTGCCTATCAATCTCCTAAATCAATAACATGACTACTCTTGTTTCTAAACGTTCCTGTGGATTATCTAACGTGTGAATTGTCAAGAATTCAAAGTGAATTTCGAATTTCAGGCTCCAGTAACCAAATTGTCAGGGTTATTTTCAGCATTTGCACCAAATCTAGTTGAATTGGAAGGTTTTCTTCCGCTTATTCATGTTTCCAGTTCAGTAATTTTGTGTTGAGAAAAAAAAAGTAATGAATGTAAACAATTCCATCATAAATCTATGTATATCAGAATTTAATGATAACTGCACAAAGGATTCAACACAACATTGAGATATATATATAAGTAAATTGAGAAAAATACATTTGGGTCGTGTCCCCTCTTTCTCCAGTTCAGTGATTTTGGCCTTAAAATTACATTTCAATTCTCAGTGCGAAGTTTATTTACTAAATCTGAATTGCCAGGAGTTCAGAGTAAATTTCAAATTTTAGAATAAAATAAGTGCAAATGTAGCTGACTTGAAGAATTTCTCCAATTTACTTATTTTTTCCTAAAATTTGCTACCATAATAATTTGCTCGCAACACATTCTCTCTCCATTGACCTTGGCAAAGTTTAAAGGGACAATATAGGCGCCAAAACAACTTTATATGATACCCCTGAAGTCTCACTTTTCAAGTCTCTGTCATTGAGGAGTTAAATCACTTTTGTTTCTGTTTATGCAGTCCTAGTCACACCTCCCCTGGCTGTGACTGACAGCCTGCATGAAAAAAAAGTTTTCATTTTCAATCTGATAACTTGCTTTACATCTTGTTACCTCCTGCTCTGTAAATTGAACTTGAATCACACGCAGTAGGCTCCTGCAGGGTTTAGCAGGCAATTAACAAAGCAGGAGATAATACATTCTATTTTAAATAGTCTGTGCAGCAAAGGAAGTTTAAACATTAGATGTCTCTATACAGGAAGTATTTAGAAAGGGTGTGCAAGTCACATGCAGGGAGGTGTGACTAAGGTTAC